TAAAATGTTATGATTTTAGAAATTTCTCTGTTGTTCAGCTCTGAAATTATACTAAAACAATTATTTGCCTCAGGTACGGTGAATAATTGTTAATTACAGAGTTAATAGTTTACATGAAAAAAATTACTGCTTCTGATTGGCTAAAAATTAGTGCATTTTTCATGTAACACAAGCGCAAAGTTCTAAAATGAGTGCAAATTACAAAAAGCAAACATGAGCTGTCAAAATTTTGTCTGTCTTAACTTACTGAGATGCTTTGTTCATGCAAATTGCTATTTAAGTAATCACATGATTTCTTGTGCAATTTTGTCCAAATGAGCACTTGCAAATTTTTCAAAGTTTACAAATTGCACTTGTCCTACAGGCTGGTGCAATTTTGTTGTCTTTGAAAAAATGTATACTTGCTAGTTAACACCAAACAGCACTCAAAATTATGTTGTTACCAATGCTAGCTTGACATGAGCTCAATATCTTACTTTCCATCCTAAATATTAACCCTTTAACTCCACAAGTGAGTCACATGTAAATTCTCCCTTTAAGTTCTGTACACGATCCAGCCACAAGTGGTGAGAATACTCAAACTTATCAGGTAGAAGTTGTTACCTTGATCAAACACCAAATTCTCGTGACCAATTAATAAGGAAATGTGTAGCAGCTAGAGGGAGAATTAACAATCAGATCTTGGGAGTCAGAGGGCTAACGGGTGTTCATGATCTATTTTATTTTGCTGTCAGCAATGAGTGAAATTGCCATCCATAACTAGTTCTTGCCAGTTTCTAATCAATTGGCACAACATCAATCTTCAAGGAAAAACACCTAACATGTAAATATTTTCTTACTTTTTAAGTTGTACAGACTGAGCGACCTTTGGCTGACGATGAGAAATTTCGGCAGCACTCATATTTCAAATTTTTTTTTTTCTAGAGGGTTTTGTTCTTTGCAAACCAAGGGCTACCTGCAAAGTTTGCAGGAGTATAGCTAGTAAACTTCATAAAACAAGAGCATACCGAGGATCTTTTAAACATACTGGTATATAACAATTAAGATAGGAGTGAGTGAAAATATCTGCTTACCATCAGCAAGGACATTCCACTGAAGCACACGGAATTCAGAAGTTTCCCCATTTGCAACTTTTCCTTCACTCTCAGTACTGATAAAGGTCCTCTGAAGCAATGGTGGGAACTTCTCAACCATTTTTTCGATTTCAGCCATGGTTTCTTTGCGTGCAAATAAAAATCCTACTTTATCTGCAGCCATTTCCTAGTTGCGAAATGTAATAATTACATAGAGAACACCATAATTGTTGCACAAAATATATTTATAAACATTGCCTTCATTCATGACTTAAATCCAGTTACTTGATAGCTCAGATAACATGCATACTTTAGCATACCTAAGACAAATTAATTCTCTCACTGGTTGCTACACATTTCTTTGTAGATGAGTAACAAGAATTTGGTGTTAGATCTTACCAAGAATTTTGACAACAACCCTCAAAGATCTGAGCAAGAACATTTAAGATATTTCGAGTTCTTAACAAGATCTACCAAGATTGTGAAGGGTCTTCTACTTTCTTACCAAGATCTTCAAGGATCTCTTGTTTTCTTGCAAACATCTTAAAGGATCTCTTATTTCCTTGCCAAGATTGTCAGGGATCTTCTGCTCTGCTGTTGCCAAGATCTTTAAGGATCTTTTATTCTCTTGCCAAGATCTTCAAGGATCTCTTCTCATAAAGATCTTTTAGAAATCTTTGAGGATCTCTATCATTCTTGTTAAGATCTTGAAGGATCTTTCATTTTCTTTCCAAGATCTTTAATGATCTTCTATTTTCTTATAAAGATCTTCAAGGATCTTTTATTTTCTTATCAAGATCTTTTAAGGATCTTTGAAATTCTCAACAAGATCTTTTGAAGATCCTTGAAGATCAAGACAAGAACCTCGAAGATTTTGACAGGAAAATGCACGATCCTAGATCTTAGCAAGAAAATGCAGGATCCTTGAAGACTTTGGCAAGAAAATGCAAGATTCTTGGAGACCTTAGAAAGATAATGCAGGATCCTTGAAGATCTTGGCAAGAAAATGAAAGATCCTTGAAGATCTTGACAAGAAAATGCAAGATTCTGGAAGATCTTGGCAAGAAAATGCAAGATCTTTGAAGACCTCGCCAAGAAAATGCAAGATCCTTGAAGACCTTGGCAAGAAAATGCAGGATCCTTGAAGACCTTGGCAAGAAAATGCAAGATCCTTGAAGATCTTGGCAAGAAAATGAAAGATCCTTGAAGATCTTGACAAGAAAATGAAAGATCTTGGAGGATCTTTACAAGAAAATGCAAGATCCTTCAAGATCTTGGCAAGAAAATGAAAGATCCTTCAAGATCTTGGCAAGAAAACAAAGGATCCTCAAAGATCTTAACAAGAATCATAAAGATCCACAAAGACTTCTCTAAGATCTTCATGAAGTTCCCCAGGAGGACACCCAAATGTTCTCATGAAGATCTTTAAAGATCCTTAAAGATCCTCCAGAGATTTTCACTAGGGTAGCACACCTGAAAAAATTAATTCTCCCTCTAGATGCTACACATTTCCATGTGAACGAGTAGCGAGAATTTGGTGTTAGATCAATATAACAACTTCTGCCTGACAAGTTTGAATATTCTCATTACCATCTGCAGGATAATGTATGGATATCATGTGGAGAAGTAACATGTTAATCACTTCAGGGAGTTAAAAGGTGAATAACCCTTGCTAATAAACCCATGGATACATATCAAAAGCAATAAACCACCTATCTATTGGTTTACCCACCTAAGTAGTAGTAATAGTAGTAAAACATTTTTGAAATTGTCAAGAGCCATTTAGCTAGGGAAAAATCCCTTACTAATTTGGGGACACTAAAAAAGAAAAAAGATTAGGAACTATTTACAGTAGTATATATATTAAAACTAACTAAAGATAAAATCTATGGTTAACTAGTTATGCGATTTGTAATAAAAATATACAAAATTCATGAGGAGCAGAGGCTACAGCATGTGCAGCCATCATCCAAGAGCTAACTTATACTGAGTTGGCGTATCTTGCCTTTGAATTACTTGAGGGTCTCGACCTCCCTTATACTCTTGGGTAATTTTGTCCATAGCTTGGGTAATAGAGTGTTTGCCATAAGTGACAGTTTCATACCTGGGTATAGAGAAATCGGCTTGCCTCAAATTGTAATTACTATTGTGTACTTTAAAGATGTTGCTTATATATGCAGGACACAGTTTATGCTTTGCTTTGTACATGAGGATGCACAGGTCCTGTAAGTGCCTATTTAGTAGAGTGGGCAAATCTGCCCTCTCTAATAACTGTTCGTAACTAGAATTATAGTCCTTGAAAACCTAACAAATTGATTGGGATGTTGATGGAAAACTTGAAAGGTTAGTAGATAACTGACCTATGGCTTTTGTTTTGCAAACTTTTCTTGTGTTCTTGAGGCATTCAGCCAGGGCAGGTCATACACATTTGCTATGAAATTTCTTAGAAAGTTCAATTTATCACCTGCACACCAACTCTCCAGAGAACCTTAACTTTTTCAGAGAAGATTTAAGTTTCTCCTCACAGATGCTATGAAAGTTATCTTTTATATATTTATTTATTTATTTTTTTAAACCAACTCTTTAAATTTCATCTTGAAAGGACAACGATCGAAAGCAGAACGAGGAATGAATTCTTGCCATTTTTGTTACGGAGGTCTGGATAATGATTGGGGTGCAATCAAAATTGAACTTCATACCATGGAATACCATTACGAATGTGATGGCAGCTAAAACAAGTTGCAGTTTTACGGTCACCAAACTGTAGATTTAGACCAAATATTTTTCCACATCTTCTATAAGCTATTGCAAAAGGACAGAGCCATACCTGATTCACTTGTTTCTTGATAATGTTCGAAAACAATTGGTTCTTAAACACACTTCTGGCACTAAGGATCCAGCCAGTCACAAGGAAAACAACACCAGTTAGAGAAATCCCAGTGATTAGAAGACGCCTTCCATTACGTTCCAAAGTCTTCATAATCCATTCTGTGTGTGGTATATGCATACTTATTATGGCTCTTATAGGTTGATGCAAGACTGCTGACTACTTAATCGTTGAGCCTGCACTGGGACTTTTGTAGACCTTATGTAGACCTCACGTGACTCCCCTGTGGAGTCAAACTGTTCACTTTATTACTTCCGAGAAGCGTCAGGTTACAACAACCCTAGCTTCTAGGATTTCTATTTGATGCCTAACAAGGTCAAAGTCTTCAGTCACGTCGCAAAAATCCCAACTCTGTGTTAGTGCGTCGAGAGCTGTGGGGGGATAGACTTCACTCCCGTCTTCATGGAGTCAAGACGACGTTGCTGTGGTTGTTGTAGCCGAAAAGTATTGATCATAAGCTTTGCTATTACTGGAGTCTTTCTCCTTGTGGCTGGCTTGGTTTTAGATGTCGGTGGAGTGTTCTCGAACATAATCAAGAACAAAGTAGATCAGGTAAATTTAAAGCTTCCTTATATTTTTTTTTCGCGTAGACCACGTTTTAAGACGTGGAAAGTCCTGAAAATTCCTACATTTTCATGAATAAGACTCATCAACGATTTGTTCGAAGAAAAATCATTCCCTGCTGTGCACCAAGGCTTGCCCTTATTGCCAAACAAAATCTAAAAAAGAAAAATTGCGTAAGTGTCTGCATTTTTGTGTAAATCGTACTCGTACATATACCTTTTCTATCATCTTTCTTGGTGAGCCTGGCTTAGTTTACTCCGGAGAATAAAATTTCGCCGTAGATTTGTCGTTTTATTCATATGCCTTGCATGTTACACAAAACTGAACTTCGCACTTTGACTTCGAACGATTTGCTTAGTCACCTCATGTGATTACATGTCAATTCTCCGAGCTGTTAGTGCAGGGAATTTAGTGCGGATGAAGTTTATTTATGCAAGTAATGTCTGGTATATCATATACTTGTCCAGTGGCACAAAATTTGGCTAAACTTCAGAATACCCGGCCACTTAAGATATGTCTTGAATAATTATGTCTTGAACTAGCTGCTCCCGCAGTCCTGTAGTCACCAAATCAAATAGAACCCACACATTTAAATATACATTCTTCGTTTTTCAGTCGACCGTCATTCAATTTGCAATTAAAAGTCATATCTTAAATCCTCATTCTTCAAGCGTCATTCAAATTGAATATCCCTGCGGATTTCGACTTCGCTAGCGAGTGAACCTACAGATTCAAATATATAATCTACGTCCTTAAATCGGGACTGCAGGAGCAATAGTTTAACTGCCCTATCTTTTAATTAATCCTAACTCATCTGGAGCACGGGATTGCGGGAGCACTAGTTTACAGAATACCCGGCCACTCATTTACATGTCATTGAATAAGAATAGCATCTATTGTGTTATGCCTCATTCTTCAAAGCCTCCCGTCACATGTAAATGATGTGGACGGGTATTCTGAAGTTGCTCCCTCTTTTTTAATTATTCTGAAGTTGCTCCCAAATTTTAACTAGCGTTGCCAAACTTTTATCATTTCTGATGTGAAATTATACAGCAGTTGCAAGCCGCCACAGACTTGACCATCTCTGTATTTAAGGATTATAATGTTCCAAGCCCCCAAATTTTATTTTTCACTTAATATTTTTTATATAGATAAAAGTGTCTTAGGACTTCTTGTTCCCTTGTCTTGTAAAGACCATTGGGGAAAACCTTCCCTCACAAAGTTATTTGGTTATATCAATTAAGTAGAAATGTAAATTGGCTTTTGAACTCTTCACAGTAGCCAATTTACATTTCAACTTAGCTGATATAACCAAAATTACCTTATTACCCCCACCGATGCAGCACCACAGTTTCTTTAGAAACTTTCCCCCTTCCTTAACAAAATTGAGCTATTGAAATGAAAGCTAGTATCACTAGACATGCGTGCATAATATTTCTGACATCAAGTAATTGAAACACCTGCTAATTATGCACTTCATTTTTTATTTTGTTTTGTTGAGAATTGGACTGCGTGACTGTCACGCTGTGGAAGTAAACTTTGTTCCCTTTGTTCTTGTTACCCATTGATCACGTGATGTAAGATTAGATTTTAAGAAAAANGGCATTATATTGGACAACATATCCCAGTAGGAAAATGCAAACAGTATGTGCCAGGCCAATTTATTTAAGTGCCACTTTAGTGCTGTAGAGTATTGAATTTGCAACAAGCATCCCATAAACATTTCACAAAGTTTACATGCTTTTTCTACTGAAGTGTGGTAGCATATTAACAAGACAAGTAGTGTATTAAGCTATTCCCTGTGCAAGTATCATTTGGGATACTATATTGCATGACATTGTGTCAAAAAGATATAACACAGAGTAATTCACAAATTTGACAATCTGTTTAAAATTTTTTCTTTTCTTTTTATATCTCAAAATAAACATCCTAAAGTTAGTTAATTAATTATTGGCTTGTTCCTCTAAAAATAAAAAGGTGACATAGCACAGAAAGACAATTGGTTTGAACTATGAATATTTTCAACTTGACTGTCAATGTCAGAAGGTTAGGAAATTTTGATCCGAATGTGGCGGCCAAAACAGCAGAAGAAAGTGATTGGTAAGATAGTCCCCAGGAAAACGATGAAAGGTTTGCAGCGATGCTATGCTTGACCACCCATAGGCCATAGGGTAGGCCACAGGGTAGGCCATGGCCTTCCCCACATTTTGTTTGTGGGTAAATTACCAGCCATTTATCCACATTTTTACCTGTGGGTAAATGGCTGGTAAGTACCGTACTTGACGGTACTTTTAGTTCTTTCTGTTCCTTTTTTCAACATCAACCTAATTCCTGATTTCTTCTGATTGTTTTGGCATTGAGTGTATTATGATTTATCAAAAAAATCTCCTAGGATAATGAGAAGTAAATTATCTGCTTTTCTTTTGCTGGTGTGGAAAATGTGTTGGAAAACCTCAGCTTTGAAGCAAGTCACTTCCTAAGAACAATAGGGAACATACACCATAATTAAACTCCCTCTTCTGTCCATCCACTTCAGGGAAGAAATTTGCTCATTGCTTCGAAGTCAAAATTGAGGGATTAGACAATTCGTAAAATTTGGTGTGTGAAGGAACATTTTACTTGACAAAATGAGCATTTTGATTAATTAGATATTAAATGTATTTGTTTTGCAGAGAACTTAGATCAAATGAGGTGCTGAACTGGACAAGCGACAAAAGCATAGTAACTTTCATGCCAAACAGAACTTACGTTTTTGATCCGGAGACATCTTGTGAAGGCTGTGATGACAAGAAGGATACATTTACGAGTGTGAATATTCCACTTATGGTGAGCGGAGATGGTAATCTTTCAGCCTAAGGAAATTTGAATGTGCACAGGCAGGGTGTTCATTAGGTATCGTAGATTGGAGAATTTTCCGACAACTTCACAGAATTCTCTGGCTAAATTAGATGGCGGGTTATTTAATAGTTTTATTCAGATGTGAAGCCATTATGAACTAGTATTATATTTGACGAAAATACTTTCTTTAAGCAAAATGCATGGAATACACAAACAATCAGTGTTCATTCAAAGTGTTTGTTTTTTTTTTGAGAGTCGTGTTACGGACGTAGCATGCTGTCACAGTAACCATATTTTCATAAATTTTTATTTCCTGTCGATGTGAATTTAACTTGAAGCTACTGACTTTTAATGGCTAAATAAGTAGTGAATGAAAATATAAATGAACTTTATTCAAGTGCTGGGAGTATTAACTTAGAAAATGAAAATGAATTGGGACATGCAAATATATAGAAAAACTTGTCGAAGACCTGCAGCTGCATAAGTACTATTACGCACGAAATTTCTTGTTCTAAGAGTTAAAGAATACGTTGGAAAAATAATCAAGAAAGGTGGGGAAAGAAAACTTGGCCAAACTTTAGTGGTTAAACTGAACCTAATTTATGGGGGAAAAAATTATTTTTGGGATATGAACTGCTATGCAAATTGGAGATGTTTATCGTTTCATGATAGCTTTCATTTGAAAGTTCATGGTACATATATCTTATTATCCAAGCCCAAGGGCCGTACTGGGAGAATATCGGCCTGAGGTCTTGACAGTACAGACCGAGCGCAGTGAGGTCCGTACAAAAAAGACCGAGGGCCGATATTCTTCCAGTACGGTCCCGAGCAAACTTGGTTAATAAGAGATTTATTATGCGACTGAAGTTCAAAGAGACACAGGTGCGGTATCATTCGGGACCATTCAGGACAGTGCCCTCTGACTGACTGAGTTGTGTAATAAATTAATATATTTGGCTTCTGATATTTATAGAATATTGGACTGGCAATAGAGCATTTTGATTGGTTGATTTTAATTATTGGCCCTCTGACTGCCTGAGTCGTGTAATAATGTGACGTATTTGATATAACTTGAGGAGTAAAAAAGGTTATAGCTCTTGATTTAACCTTACTTGCTTGCTAACCAAATTCAAAGAACAATACAGTAAGGTATGCATTGTTTTAAAATCAGCAACTGGGAATGAAATTGTACCTCAGATAACAGGAAGTAGCATCTCAGAGGGATTTAAAATCCACATTTTTCCTTGGGGGGGCATGCCCCCAGACCCCCCAGAGGGGAACGAGCAAAGCCTAATTAAAGGGCTGCTCTGTTCAAAAACAAAAAGTAGATCAGTTCAAAAAGTTACTAACTAAAGAGACAATGCTTTGCAAGAAAAGGTCAATTTTTTTCTTCACCCTACAAAAGCTATGAACAAAAGCCTCTTTTCCAACATATTAACTTGTCTTTCCAATGCCATCACATGTAAACCATAACATCACAAATTGTAGAAAAGCTACTTGGACCTGCAGATTACAGAAATAGAGCAGTATTTATCTAATCTTGAGCCAGTTTGTCCATAATTTTTGATAGGAAACTTTAAATTTGCTTTAGGTTTTGAATCAGTCAATTAGTTTCTTTTTTTGAAACCGGAACCTTCAAACGTGCTCCAGGGGAAATTTTTATGACTGCATTGTTCACATTTTGAATCATGGAAATGAGAAGTGCTTGCTCTGACTAATGTACAATGCTTTCAATAAGATTTGAAATAGGTGGCTACCTCGGTACAACACCCGCCGGAAAGAGACTTGATTGCGACTTAGCGTGGTGACTGTGACTTGAGCGCGGTGAAATATACCGGGCGATTCACAACAGAATACCCGCCGGAGCTCCGGCGGGTGCCGGGTCTTATTGAAAGCACTGAATGTATGCTTTATTTCTTGTCTAACAGACTCTGGCTTTGTGGGTAAGGAACAACAACTATGACAAGAAGCATGTATTCTGTTTCTTTGGAATCGAAATTGAAGCCGAAGCATTTAAAGTCAAGTTGTTTCAAAAAAAGACAGTGAATCAAATCCTCTGGGGGTACAAAGATCCATTCCTGGAGTTCTTAATAAGTGCTTCGCAAGGAATTCATATACCCCTCATAAATAAAACTGTCACTTGCCCAGGGCAGGATGGACTTACAGACTTTATCCAGTTACAGGTAGGTGATCAGAAAAACAATTAGCTGAACTATTTTGCACCTTGACACTCGGTGCCAGATAGACAGAGACAATTGCCTGTGCAAACCTGTCATAAGTTGTCATAAACCTGTCATAAACCTGTCACAAACTCACTTTTAATTTTGCAGCTGTGGAGTATATTCAATTGTGTAAATAACTTAATATGCAAAAATAAGACAAGTTTGTGGGACCTGCAGTATCACTCATAGAACAAAAATAAAAATATATGTTAAAAGCATACAGGCCAATAAGTCTGTATGTCTGTTCGTCAGGATACCTTTAACACTCTAACCTGTAATTGTGAATAGCATCTAATTTCTTGTTACAACATCACCCCTGATTGTTATAAACCAATTCTCAGTACCATAGGAAATATTTAGAGAACGATAAGGACAATGTGTATACTGATGTTAGAGGGTAAAGGGTAACTTCCTCATGTAGCACCTCAAACAAGTACTGAATCAATTCTATTTGGTATTGAATGAATGAGAAGAGGTGTGAATGGATATCTCTGAATGAATGAGAAGAGGTGTGAATGGATATCTTTGAATGAATGAGAAGAGGTGTGAATGGATATTCACCCTGAAGCTCATTCTGGTAATTTGTAATTATTTTTAATGAACTAAATACATTTTTAGTATAACAACACGTATTATGGAGTGAGTGCTGTGAACACTGGACAAACAGACATCAACAAGCTTGAACAATTTACTATGTGGAGAGGAGAATCGTAAGTATACGAAGGTTCCATGTATGCTTTTGTAGCTAACAAGCTACAGAGTAAGGTTTTTTTTGGCTTCCTTTTGTGAGTCTTCAGATGCCTGATGCTACCCTTCCAGAAAGACTCTAATCTTTCTTTGATTTTTTTCTCATTGTTAGTGTGATAATTATTATGAACTCTGTGAATTCCCATTAGTCCTCTCTCTTAGGTTCTAATTGCCCCACAGCAAAATTTTTGCAGTTCTGTAAATGTTTGTTTTCAACAATTTGTTTGCAATGTTTTACTTGTAGTCTACATTTTTCCATCGTTTTCTTGAGTTATGCTCTTAAAGATGGTTAGAAAAGCTAGTTCTGTTTCTTTCTCTTGCACAGGGAATCTTGTATTTGTCTAGTGATACAAAAATATCAAGCAGAAAAGTATGCCATACATATAGTTTGAAAAAAGAAAAAGGAAAAAAACTTGTTAAGAATTTTTTATTAGTGTTTCACATGACACAATTCCACTTCCAAAGCAATCTGGATTTGACTAAAATGAAAGTTATCAGATATTTTATGAAATTTTTTTTTTTTTTTTTTTTTGCAGTGGTAAAATTAGCATGATCAATGTGAATTAGAATTCATCAATGCCATTTGTCTTGGCTTTTTTAAGAGCATCAAAGCCTCCTTGATTAATCTATTATCTCCCAGAAGTAATGAGCAGGTAGCTTCTCCCTTTATATCCATGAATTATCCAGCAAAAAAGGCAATAAGAATTCTCAAACTTATCAGATAACATTATTTTGTTATCTTGATCCAACACCAAATTCTTATAACTGATCAACATTAAAATGAGTAGCAGCTAGAGGGGAGAATTAACAATCAGATCTTGGTAGTTAAATAGTTTTTTTTTTTTAATTCTATCGACCCCTGAACTCTCATGAGTGACCAAGACAGACTTTTTCTTTACAATATCAATACAATATCAAGCAGACAAGTGTTGGGAAGAAAGGAAAGTAACGATCAGGGAATTATACGTTGATCCAATTGCAAATTCTTTCAACTAACACCATAAGAATTGTATGGCAGATAGAAAGAAGAATTGCTTGTGGGATTAAGCGAGTTCAAGGGTTTAGAAGTCTTATTGGTGTCTTACACTTTTGATATGCTGACTTTAAAACTAAAAGGTCACATTTTGTGTACATTTGCAGCCGTTTGTCATGGTGGAGCGACAAGTATGCAAACATGATTAATGGAACAGGTACATTATTATTTCACAGAGGTTTCTAATGCTTCTAACTGTGTCAATTAACTGATTAGTTGGTTAAACTGGTGAAACTAGTCGTGAATTTTCTTAACTTCCATTTTGAAATCACTGGTCGTAATCTGATTGGCCCTGAGCTATGTAATTTAACCTCAAATTGCTTTTATTTTTACTCCAAATTTCTTTTTTTGCCTAGTCAATAAGAAAGCAAAAAACAACCAATGAAACAAAACAACTAATCAGATTTCAATGCTTGTTTAAGTACATTTAATCTATCAAATTGCAGGGAATTGAAAGGTGTGGCAAAGTGTGCAACTATTGTCCTCAATACTTCACTTTGTTTTTTTCTTTGTGAAATATATTTTCTTTAACTTAAACTAAGTAAACAGAATCTCTCTATTTTGTCTTGCAGATGGTACTCAATTTTCCCCTGGTGTTAAGAAAGATGACACATTTTATGCCTTTTCTCCTGAAGTTTGCAGGTGCAGTGTTCTTGTCACCTAAAGACATGTTACGATAGCTTCTGTAACACTGTAAATATAACATGTCACTGGTATAACGGAAGGTTGAGGGTAGGGGAGGGGAGGGTAGGGTATGGTAGGGTTGCAAACTGCTCGTAGCGCAGCAAAATGCAAGTGACTAAGTGTAGCCATAATGGGTTTTAATTTTGAATTTGTTTGATTAAGACCGAGTTTTATGGGACCAATCACATGGCGAAGCTCAGAAAAATCAAAGCAATCTAGGCTAACTTTGGATGCTCAATTGAAAATTGTTCCATGCATCTATTCTGAGGTTTAGAAAACTACTTCAGAAGTCGCTCACCAGAGCAAAGATGTCTTCGTTAATGTGTAGTTTTGATTTCCTTTTTCCACAGATCTTTATATTTTGTCTATGAATCCGATCAGACTGTAAAGGACATTAACCTGTTACGCTTCACTGCACCGAAGGAGCTCTATTTGAGTGGTGATGTTTACAAGCCTAATAAAGGATTCTGCGTGCCTCCAGGCTGTCTGCCGACTGGTTTGCTGAATATCAGCCGTTGTCAGCCATTGAGTGAGTCAAAGCAAAAATTTTGCAAACATTTTTAAATATCGAAACTCTTTCTGAATAAAACATCAAGGCAATTAGAATAAAGGAGATGATCACCAAGTGAAGAAGCTCTTGATTGTTAAACAAATTCTGAACTGCTGTCGTTATGATTGATCATCACACAAATAATAAGCTGCTCTGATATGAACCTTAAAGAAGAGTTGACAAAGTGCTACGGCCAATCGGACAAAAATTGTTCTCGTTTCAGTGAAACAGGTGTCCAGAATTGCCAGTGGTAGGACCTGTACATTATCTTAGCTACACTTTGCATGGCCTTGATCCTCTTGCGAGAGGAAATTTGTTGAATTACAACCCTGTTTATTATTACTGTCATGTAGTGATCATTTTTTTTTTTTTACGATTTTGTTTCCCTAGATCCACCAGTAGTTTTATCGCCGCCGCATTTCTACCAAAGTGATAAATCTTTGTTAAAAGCAGTTGAAGGGCTCAACCCAGAGAAGAGTAAACACGAAACCTACGTTGATATCGAACCGGTCAGTAGAGTATAAGAAGTTAGTTTACTGTCTGTTAGAAACGTACGCGGTTTCAACTGTGGCGGATTTTACTGGTAGAGCAGTTTTGGATGATATTCGAAAAACAAAAAAAAATGACAACAGCCAATCGGAGAGAAGGTTGACATCATCATTACCCAATGAGAACTTGAAGGAAAAGCTCGCAAATTGCTCGAAACGCGGATGACCAAATCGCGATAGGTTTTTGTTGGGCATTTGATTGGTCGAGGAGGTGGCGCGAGTTTTTTATGGACCAATCACTCAGCGATGTTAAAGAAGACCAAAGCAAACATGTTTGTAAACATGTTTGCTCGACGGTCAAAAAATAGGGAGAGGAGCTGGGGTGGGGGGGGGGGAGTGCCCGCCCCCTTCCCCCACCGTCGACTCTAATTCCAAATTAAACATGGCTGGTTGAATAAAAGATCGCGCGCTTCTTAACGTGAACTCGCCCTAATAGGACGCCTGCACTGCAGGCTAAAAGAGAAAATTAACATCTTTTTCTAGCTTTCAGTCATCTTGGTGGATTCTTAATTCTTTTTTCTGTCACTGCAACATTTTCTCAGATTACTGGCATTGTTATGAGGGCAGCTAAAAGAATTCAAATCAACGTCGCCGTGGAACCTGTGAAGATGTTTGCGTAAGTGGATAGAATTTTATTTTGGATGTGAGCTTACTGCGCTTTGCTGAAAACCATGCAAACTAAAGAGTTCTAGGTACTTCGTGAAATCCTCGCTTTACTTACGTTGCCGTCAGGAATGGCGAAACACTCTAAAGTTGTGTCAATATTTGATTAAAAAGTTACAAAGGAACTGACAGGTATGCTGGTTTGCTTTTTTTTTTTTTAACAGTCCAACCAATTTAAACTTTTCGAGAGTTTTCCTTCCTGTGATGTACGCCAGTGAGGTAAGTCAAATTTTTAGCTGCAATAAATCTTCTCCTTTACAACTTGTATTGAGAGTCAGTGTTTGTGAGTCCTGGGAGAATTTTAAGCTTAAAAAGAAGAGCGTCTTTAAAAAATCTCGGATTGTAGCATTCCACCTGTTGCAGTTTATTGAATTTTGTGCATCGACGGATGCCTAATAATTTACTCTTAAACTCCTCAGAGTTTTGTAATTACCGACGGGAAAGCAGCAGATTTTCGTCACAAGGTGTACTTGCCAATCACAATAACAGAGGTGATAGAATATTTTCTGATGGGGTTGGGTGCCCTTTTCATACTAGTGGCCTTGTTGTTGCTGCTGTTTGCTACCACCAAGAAGAAGAACGCTTTGGAATTGCGTGTAAATGAGGTAAATCAGAACAAGGTCCTAAAATATTGATACTAAATGCTTACGTTAACGAAAAAAGAATGTTTCCTAAGGAATATAAATCAACGTGTTATTTGATACCTGAATTACGTAGAACCGCTAAATTCACACTACCATAGGCTCCTAAAATGAACCCTTGTTAAAGCTCATATCTAATTGAGGCATTAGCCTGAGTGGTTCGTCACCGACGACGTACTTATAAAGGGATTTGCTGGCCAATATTTTTTATTCGTTGATTTGTTTAAACTGTCGATTGTAAGTGTGTTACCGAGTTTCTCGCTCATATCTGTAAGGCAGATTGTTCAACTGTACACGGATTTATTTATCTGGATACTCTTTTTCGGCGGAAGTTATCGTTGCTTTGCAAAGTCACTCGACAACGACAAGTGTTTAGCGCCCATATCATTGCCTCTGTTTCAATTAGTTTTTCTGAACTCGGTGATTCGCAGCCATTTTTTACGAATTGTTTGCTTTGTCTTTCCTTCTGTCAATGTTGTTGTTGTTGTTAATTTATTGTGTTGCTTTTTGTTACTTTGGTTGATTAAAAGATCGAAGATCATGGGTGGATCCAGGAATTTTTGATTGGGGGAGGGGAGGGTCCAAACTTTGGTTAAGAAAGGACTGTTGGACTCTTTTGAGGCA